CGCCCGGGGGAGGAGGTGGGGCCGGGGATTTGAGGAAGGGGTTGGGAAGGGGCGGAGTTGGGGCGGGGCCAGGGAGGCACAGGAAAATCTTTTTGCTTGGGGCGGCAAAAAACTTGGAGCTGGCCCTGGAGTCAGGAGAGGCCGCATCCCCTGCTGGCACCTTCAGCGCAGCCCCACGGCACAGAGCCCTGTCTGCTTCCCCTGTCCGGACCCTTCAACGCAGCCCCGTCCCCTTCCCCTGCACATTGGGGGAGCGAGACGGGCTGGCAGCTGTCCAACTGCTACATCATGAGTAACTCCCCCCCGCAGCTCCCACCCCCGTCAGTACCAAGCACCCCTGCCCCCACTCCCCACCTCCTGCCCTTTCTTTTCAATTTTTCACCAATTTTCACCCGTTATTTACATTTAGGAAGAAACACTCCCAGGCGATTTCAAACCAAATAAACCCCGAAAATGAGGGGCTTAGGGATACCCCCCATAAACCCATCCCAGCTCCTGGGCTAGCATCACACCATTGTGGATGCAGCAACACCGATCTGGCAGGGGTAGCGCTTTGCAGTGCGGATGCTCCGCGCGGGCGAGGCTAGTCCAGGATAACTCTGCAATAACAAGAGGGGTGATCTTAACTGGGGCTAAAAGCGCAGTGCGGACACAGCCGCTCGGGTTTTAACTCGAGTTCAAGTCCAGGTTGACCTAGCGGCTTTCACTGGAGCTGCTAACCTGAGCGGCTGCTATTTTAACCCGACTTAGCGCAGTCCTGTTAAGGCCATGCCTTTCGTTTTGCGGCGAAGACCGGCTCTGAGGTGCTCTGGACAAAAGCTCCTGGGGACGGCAGGTGTGTGTGTGCGTACATTATACTCACCGCTCAATAGGCAAAGGGCAGGCAACAGAAGAGAGGCCATTTTCTTCCAGAAGAGAGTTTCCATCAGGTCTGGAAGTGGGGAAAAGGGACAGGAATTAATCACATGAATCATCTCTCTGGGGAAGCGCATCTGGTCCCTACATTTCCATCAGCATCTGGCCACCGGATCTGCTGCATCTTCTCTAGCCGGCATCACGACCAGGTATTCTACGCCTAGGGCCCTTTGTAAAGCATTTTCTAAGCCAGGAAGGGAACACAGCTCAGCGGACTTGCCTGACAGAGCAAGGAGCGGTTGCATTTCCATCCCAGCATGCTTTGCAGGCCGCTTGTGCATGGTTATGCCCTCACAGGTGAAATGCAGCCACCTCTGGGCGGGGCATGCCGGCTGCTTGACAGCTTGTAGCAACATGGATGGCAGTTTCAGGGCAGACCCAGAGGAAGGAACCTGTGTGGAGCTGACATTGCCAGGGGATTTAGGGAGGCAGAAGGGAATTAACCACATTGGGATGTGACTGGGACTCTAGGGACATCCTGACTGCTTGGGAAAGAGCCACCGGGGTATGACAGCCACAAGGGGGCAGTGTTCTCATTCAGTGTCTCAGCTAGAAACAGGAAAGTACCACACATAAGGGGAGAGCACCCGCTACTAAGCCCCCTGCCCTGCTCACTTCAGCACAGTGCCCCCTAGTGCCATGCTGGGGCATTGGGGCCACTCTGCCTACAAGGGGAAGACCCCATAGTGAGCTCCTGTCCCCACTCCCCACCCCCTAGTGCCACATTGGGACAAACAGACTGTGAGTGGAAAGCGCCCCCTACTGAGCCCCCAGCCCACTCTTTGCAGCACAGTACCCCCTAAGGCCCTTTCTACACTAGGACCACTTTGACAGAGTAGCTATACTACAGGGGCAAAGTGCTCCTAGTGGATGCAGCTTATACTGGCAAAACTGCACGTTGTACTGGTATACCTTATTCCGGCCCCCCTAAGTGAAACAAGTGTGGTGCATTGAAACTGGGTAAAAACAACAAGCTATCACTTTAACAGGAAGGGGTTTCCTGGTCCTGCTTGCAAGCTAGGGGTCTCTGTAGGGAAGTGTGCGATCTAGGGCTTCAGCAATCAGTCTGCAAAGGGTCAGCCTAGAGCAAAGTGGGGTAAGTTGTGTTTCTCTGCTTCAGGACTGCTTTCAGGCTAACTGGCCTGGAGTCACTCAGGTCATACAGCTTGCATTTTCTGAATATTGGCACAACATTAATACTCCTACAGTCTTCCGAAATTTCTGGGGAACAAAGGTCTCCTTAGCCAACTCTTTTAGGATTCCTGGTCCAAGTTATTAGGGCCTGCTGATGAGCTGGAAGAAGGTAGTTCGTCAATCCTCATGGTATGAATACATCATCCTGCTTCTTTCCAAATAAAAAAGAGAAATATTTACTGAACCCTTCCTGCATTATTATTAACAATTCTACTATCTCCATCTAGTAATATGCCTATACTCTATACCATTGCTGGGATTTTTTAGTTCCGAATATTCTTTTAAAACTCCTTATTTTCCTTATTCCTACCAGATATGGATTTTCCATGATGTTTTTAGCTTCCCTTATCAATTTTCTACACATCATAACTTCTAATTTACATTGATTGCTATGTCGCCTTTCTTCCGTATATCATATGTTGTTGTTTTTTTTAATTTCTAAACGCTGCCTCTACTTCAGCACTGAACCAGAATGGACTTTTGACCAAAGTTGTCCTCTTTCTTGATTTGGTAGCATGGCTTTTTTGTCCATCGAATAAAATCTTCTTAAAGAAGTCCCAATTTTCATTCACATTTTTCTTTCTAATTTTTTCTCCCAATCAATTTCACTCAAAATGCTGCTCATCTTTGAGAGATCAGCCCTTTTGAAGCACCAAATGTATATATTACTGGTTGGGCCTGCCCTCTGTGTGTCCATAGTGAAATAATCAGCTCACGATCACTGGTCCCTAGACAACCACCACCATCCAGTTCTGCAACTCATTAATCTTGATCTGTCATAATGAGGACCAACATAGTTACCTCATGTTGGGTGCAATACCTCCTGCAAGCAATACAAATCTATCATTTTAAATACCTGGAATGATGTTTTATCACCAGCTGCATGAGACCTCCAGCGTATGTCTCCCAAATTGAACTGCCCCATTATAGCACCATTTCTGCCAACATATTAAACACCCATCTGTAAGGAGTAACTCATCCTGTTCTCTGGTTTGATTCGCTGACCTGTAATATCAAATATATAATTTTTTCCTCATCAATGAGAATTTTTAATTCCTCCTACTTGTTACCCAAACTCCTAGCATTGGTATGGAAGCAATTGAAAATCTCTTCACGTTTTTGCCACATCAGTTCAAGATGGTTGGGACATCTTGAGTTTGAGTTTTGTACTGCATTTGCCTTCTTAGCACCCTCCCCGTTGCACTGGTGGTTTATGCCCTCAGAGCAGCTCCAGCTAGTCTCCAACAGAGAAGATTAGTCCCCCTAGTTGTGAGATGCAGACCATCCTGTTTGTACAGCCCTCTTTCCCACTGGAATGTGGCCCAGTGTTCCACAAAACCAAAACCTTCAGCCTCACACTGGTCATACAGCCAACAGTTCACCTCCAGCATTTTCTGCCTTCCCTCAGAGAAGATCATTTGGCTTTTTCTTTTCTTCTGCTCCCTTCCAAGTGCTTGAGGTCTTCTATAATCTGTGTAGTTCTATGTGATGCCATATCATCATCAGTGGAGACAACTTCATAACCCCATCCAATGCTGGGGTTACCGCTCGTATCTTCACTGCGTGAAGATAGCACACCGCCCTACCATCCTTGTGTCCATCACTGAATTCTCCTTCTTCTCTTCTTAATACGGCGTCACCAATTGTTTACATTCTTAGGAAGGTAGAAGAACCTGGCTTGGTTGCTGCTTATTTCAAACCGCAATGATACCCTTCAGGTATGTCTCCTGTAGCTTTCCTCCAGAGACACATTCTTCCGTAGTTGACTTGTTGAGTATCTGAAGATGTTCTGATACTTCTACTCGGGTTGAATGCCTCCTGGCTCTCTTTCCCCTCTTGGTCACAAACAGCCTGTCCACCTCTTTGGTTCCTTCTATATCCAATTCCTTTATCACTGATCCTTCCCCTTGTGGCATCTGTGAAAATGATTTCCAGCTCTGGTTGTCCAAGAAGTCTTTGTTTTTTTGCAATTTATGCTTCCAGACCATGTGTCTTCTCCTCCAGTACAGCCACTAGCTTGCACTTCATATCCCAGGTATCTATTCTGTCTTCTGGCAGAAAGGAAAACATAGCACTTCCAAGGTAGGTCCCAGCATTTGTTCTCTCCTCATCTATATCTGCTGCCTGGTGGAGAGCCATACTTAAAACAGTAATCACACTCCCTCTGAAATTCGCACTGTTTGCTCCTCCGATTCACGTCAACTGACTTATACACTAAACATCAGGGCTCAGCACCCTCCCTCGCCAACAGGAGCGAATAACTACTCAGACTCCCAACGCGGCTCAAAGCCAGAGATCCCAGGGACGAGGCCCTCACTGAAACACAAACAGACCTTTGCACCAGGCTAGTTCAGGGGCTTGGAGCCCATCCACAGAACCTCCACGGAGAACAACCAGCCAACACATGGGACGAACACAACACTCGCCAAGTCCCTCCCGCTGCAGACATAGGCTCCTTCACCCCCTGAAATATCCAGATTTGCTGCTCCTGTGACCCCGCTAAAGGGAAGGGCTGGTGGCATGGGCCACAATTTTTCACAAAGAAAAGGTTCCAAGCCAGGGAGGTCCATGTTTCAGCTACATCAGAACAGCTTAACAGTTGTGGGGACACATCACCAAGCCTTGTTTTGTCACGTACCAGCCAGTCAAAACCCTGTTCCTTTTTCTAAACTCCCAACACAAAATGGAAGAGAGAGAGAGAGTGTGTGTGTGTGTGTGTATGTGACATTTTGCAGCATATTACTCAAGAACAAAGCTTCAGGGCAGCGAGTGGCATTCCCAGCTCCTTCGGAAGAGCTTGATGGCCACAGGGATGTCTCCTTTGGGGTGACTTGCACTTTATTTTGTCACGGACAAGCCACAAAAACCCAGCGTTTTACTTGAGTACATCATTCATAAATAATTAAGTAATTAGTCATCTAAATTTTTATCTCATTCAACCATATGGTTTGATGAAATGTCTAGAAATGTTATCTTACGCGGTTGTATTTGTAAATCGTTTGGGCCTGTGACTAAGGAACTGGGAACCATGAGTAAAGAGCTGGTACCACAAAAAAAGAGCTGGTGCCACGAATAAGGAACCATCTTCAGCCTTCTTGCAGACGTCTGTAACATAGACCAGGCCTAAGACTTCCTCTGCTCCTTTTGCACCCATAACCAGATTGTTTATCTGGGTCTCTATTTCCGTCCACACCCTGATTACAGCCAGTGAGCCAATATCTGATGTAATCACACCATTCTGAGCACATTATTTCAGGGCAATGGGGAACTAGCCAGCAAGGCTTTTATGGTCAGGGTATGTCTGAAAATAAATTTGCCCTCCCAAATCCATGAATAGAACCCAGGAGTCCTGATTCCCTGCTCCTACAGACAAGGCTAGATCCCAAGAGTCCTGACTCCTAACCCCTACCATTCTAACCAACTAGACCCCCCACCCCTCTCCTAGAACAAGGAATAGAACCCAGGGGTCCTGACTCCCAGATCCCTCTGCTCTAATTAAAACACCATGCTCCCTCTCTACACAGTCATTTAATCAAACATGTTCTGAATCTATCCTATAGGACCTCATATCACTTGACAACCTCCTATTGGTTGATCATTTAAATCAGTAGAGAACTGCAGCCATCTCAGGGGCGGGGCACACCAGCTGTTTAACTGCTCAGCAAGATGTTCCCCTGCAGTTTGCAGTCCCCATACCCATAATTTACACGGGGATTCTTTTGGGCAGAGGCTGTCTCACGCTGTGTTTGGGAAGCCCGCAGTGTATGATCACTGCTAGCACAAGTTATTATGAGACAGTGTGGTCCCGTGGCTAAACCACTG